ATGTTTTGGATTTCTTATTATGTGTGGATTGCATGGATTGTCACCAGCATCTGGTCAAAATGTCACGTTAATAGCACCTCAAGAAATATATTTATTGAGAAAAATGGTGGCATGTATTGAATACTTATTTCACCCTGGTATATTATTGACTTCATTAAAGTCATACAAAGGGAAAAGGGAATAACTGGACAAAACACGTCATTTCAATGTGCTGTAAAACACTAATATCATAATAAATCCTATCTTTCAATAATCTTTTAGGAACTGGGAGGAGGATCAGCCTGATAACGGTGGAGGAGACCCAGAGTGGGGGGAGGAGGACTGTATACATGTCAGAGATGATAACAAGGCATCTTGGAATGATCTTTCATGTGAAATTTCTTTGTTCTGGATCTGTGAAAAAGTACCAACATTAAGTGAATAAAGCTTTTTTTTTTCTTGTTTAAATAAATGAAACTCTCCAACAAATTCTTAACCCTCTTCTAATTTAATAGCTAAGTAAAATGAAAAACAACCTGCTTTTTCTCTCCAATGGATGATAAAAAGCATTGACTGCTTTGATTTCAGGCGAACTGAAAGAACCGTGTGGCACAAATAAAAGATATTAAGATTATTATCATTGCAAGGGGGTTGATTGCATATCACTAAAGGTCATTAGGTGACAGTGTGACACGCTACTGCTGAGGTTGCCAATTCATCACAGCTCAACATAGAGACAGAGCAGATAACCATGCTCATATGCAGTGCACAGACACACACACACACACACACAAAGGATGAAATGCCTTGACAGCAAAGCATTATGCATTAGAATGTGTGAAATGTGTCAACCCTAAAGCTATAAATCATTTCATTTGGAGGTCATTCGAAGCTTCAAATGTATGTCAACCCTAACATAGGTTGTGTGGAGGTTTTAGAGGACCCAAATCCATAGACGGAAGCTGAGGTGGTTTCTTGGAGATTTAATCACCCAAATGGTGGCAATTGAAGCAAATGTCCACAAACAAAATACATAAAACCAAATTTCTGGAGACGTTAAAGAAAACACAAATGAGAAGCAAAGAAATAATGAGGAACCAGCAAACAGTAACTGAAGAGGAGGAGTATAAATGGGAGACTGAACAAACACTAGGATAATCAGTAGACGAGGAACAGGTGTAGATGGAAGCATCTAGAAGAGAGTTAGGGGAAGGAAACTGACACATGAGGGCAAAAGAGGGTAAGCAAGAAATACATAAGAACTCAAATACAATAAAAAAAATAGAACAACACAAAATTAAATAAAATCAATGAAAACTCAAAAAAAGAAAACTTAAACAGAACCAAAACCATGACAAATAGCCCTTTCTCTCGCTTACCAGAATATGAGCAACCTGCACCTCTGTGGTCCTGTTTGATGACTGTTGCTTTGCTTAGTTTAAAATCTACATAAAAAAATCTGTCAAAAAAGGACATTAAAAAACATTTATGCATGTCTTATATGCTAACATCTCAAATTTTAAATATTACATTTATATTTAAAATGTTATATCAACCGACCTGTCCAGGGTATACCCCACCCCTTGCCCATTGACAGCTGGAGAAAGGCACCAGCACCCCTCGCGACCCCAGTGGGGATAAGAATGACAGAAAATGGATGGATGGATGGATGGATGGATGGATGGATGGATGGATGGATGGATGGATGGATGGATGGATGGATGGATGGATGGATG